AGAGAGAGAGAGAGAGAGAGAGAGAGAGAGAGAGAGAGAGAGAGAGAGAGAGAGAGAGAGAGAGAGAGAGAGAGAGAGAGAGGTGGGTTGATTGGAAACAGGACCCTGTAAGAAACAGAAGGTTCTGGTCGCCTGTCAAATCATGATCGACGACAATAGTCCCCTACTGTCTTTCCCAGCTTGATTGTGGTCTGATCATCACGCCCATGCCGCGGTGTATTCACGTTCATGCCCTGGTGTATTCTGCACGAATGAAATTGGGTGTCATCACATCTGTATCTGACCAGAAAGCTGCTCAGCATACAGATGCAATGAACCTGTGGTATGAAAGACAAGCTCTGTTCATGATGCTGTGCCCCAGTCTGTGCTGTGCATTGTTTGCATTGCTAACCATGGTGTATCGTTTTTTGTCATCGATATATATCTCATCGATATGAAATGATATGTGGGAGGAAACGCATTTGATCCATATATATTAAGACCATATGTATGTATTCCATTCTGCATTCGGCGGACGTGCTTTTTTATTTATGCATCCATAGCTGCTAATGCTTCTCTGACCATCCTGCTTGTTTTTTCACTGACTTCTGCCTAAAATACGTGACGATATATGCGTACGGTGATGGTTCCAAAACTCCCAGGTATCACCTTACTTAGTATGCTATTTTACGCAGTCCATCGGAGTGCATCTGGATTCGAACTTGGGTCTGTGTTTCAACTCTTATTGGGTGTACCAACGTAGCTAGGCCCGTCGGTTCGCCTTAGTATTGCTATTACAGAAGTCCAGTCTGTGTAATGGGAAACCAAACATCGGAATGTGTATGTGAGACTCATAAGCATGCTGCCTCACATATTTTTTTAATGCAGGAGCGAGTGGACTGTTGTCTTCTTTGTCGCCTCTGGCTCGCCAAGTGACTGTCTGTGTACCTTTTTGTTTGTTTGCAGCACCTCTGGTTGCCCTTATGGTGACAGCTGCCATTTTTCACATTATGTCCCTGGAGGCCTCAGTTCAGCAGCCCTTGGGGGGCCAGGTCAAAATGGGAAAGGCGTTGTCCTAACGGACGGAGGAGTGAATCTTGGCGGGTATAAATCAAGACTGTGTAACAGATATCGCGAGCCTGGAGGTTGCCGGTTTGGCGACAGGTGTCACTTTGCACATGGCGAACACGAGTTGCGGCCAGAAAATGACATTCAGGGTGGTGAATTCCCGGGAGGAACTGGGCAAATGGGTCGTGGTGGAGCTGGGTCCATGGGAGGGGGGCAGTTTGGAGGCATGGGGGGTGGCGGCGGGAGGGAGAATGGTGGAAGAGGGGGAATCTTTCCTCCGGGCACCGGGCCCGAGATGAGTGCAGCTATGTCGGCTGCGGCATCGTTCGGTCAATCGACGACAACGAAGATCAGCATTGATGCACACCTGGTTGGGGCGATCATTGGGAAGGCCGGGGCCAACGTGAAACAAATATGCAAGCTGACTGGGGCCAAGCTATCTATACGTGACCATGAAAGCGACGCCAACCTTCGGAATGTGGAAATGGAGGGGTCGCTGGAGCAGATTGACAAGGCATCAAACATGGTGCGGCAGTTCTTGATGCAGAGGGACTTGACATCGCCTCCGAGGCCCTCAGGGCTTGGGCCACATAACTACAAGACGAGGATGTGTGAAAACTTTGCAGGTGGAACATGTACTTTTGGCGATCGGTGTCACTTTGCTCACGGTGCCCACGAGCTGAAGGATCCACCACCGGAGGCGCGAGGTGGCGGGGGAATTGGTGCTGGAGGAGGTATGGTGGGCGGGGCTGTGTCGAAACCGATGGGCACAGTCATGTAGGTGTAGTGTCGAAACCGATGGGCACAGTCATGTAGGTGTAGTCTTGCTGCTGGACGACGTGGGCGAATGAAATGGTGGCAGGCGAGGGTAGGGCGGGAGGCTGCGGGGCGAACAAGTCGTACGCGAGATAGCATGGTGATACGGTAGTCAGAAAAGCGTAAATCATATTTAGGATAGTGCCGATGTATTGATCTGTTCCCCTTTGAGGGGACGGTCAAGTGTCGGGCTTCTCATCAGGTTTTGCCTGGTCAGACTCTGCCTTGCTTCTTTCCATTGCGATTTACGGGTTCTTGTCCTTCTCCTTTTCGACTCCTGGCTTGCGGCAGATGCCGCATTTGGATGTGGTGAAAGTGAGGTGGTGTTGCTGTAGGAGGTAAGCCTTCATGTGCCTTTGGCAGCCAATGATAGGGCTACACTACTGACAGGAGTGCACTTTGCGGGTGGCCAGATTACTTCCAGTCACTGGGCGGAAGGTATCGGCTTCCTGCAGTAGAGGGTTGATGTTTTTCCTCAATTTTTGTCTAACTGCATCTCCTGCCCGTTACCGCACGGGTGACGATGCCGGAAGATCAGAGATCCTGTGATGGATAAGCGAAGTCGTGATGCAAGATAATTGCCAGACAATTTTGGCGGAGGTGGTCTACCTATGGGTATGACGCTGGAGTGAGCCTCGCGTATCTACTTCCTGACCTGATTGGCACTTGATGATGGTGATA